CGGTATCGTGTGATATATGATTGCTTATAGTGTGTGGGCAGAACGTGCGGCAAAATTACATTCGTGATATCGCAGTGCCATGCGGATTTGCGCGGCCTTCGTGGAGACTGCGTTTGCGTTGGGCCGTGCCACTGGGGAGCGAGAAACATGATGGTGTAAACGCGGCGTGTCGCTGGTGAGCGGAATGATTGGCGGCGGTATCGTGTGGCAGGATTGCTTCTAGTAAGTGGGCAGACCGTGTGGCGAAATTACGTCCGTGATGTCGCAGTGCCGTGCGGATTTGCGCGGCCTTGGTGGGAAGTGCGTTTGCGTGGCGCCGTGCCACTGGTGAGCGCGAAACATGCTGGTGTAAACGCGGCGTGTCGCTGGTGTTGTAGAATTTCACAGGTCAGGGCAAGTTTTGTTTGAAAAAGATTTTTAAGTTTTTTGAAAAGACACCAAAAAACAAAACCTACAATCCCGCAGAAAGATACCAGCAAGGTGAACCCAGAAGTTTGGACTCAGGAAACATTGTACAAATACTAGGAAAATGCAGTTAAATGCAAACATACATACCAATCAAGCAAACCCTGGGCTCAACAAACTGCGCATGGCGCATGTCCATCTGTGAGTCTGTGTGAGCCAGCTTGTCTCTTTTTTCTCCTGTGACTAGCGACTTCTGCCTTCAGTCTATCATCAGCTCCGTGGCTTTGTTGGGTGACAAACGCTTCGCTCAATCATCTTGCCCTACACCACGCAAACAACAAAGGTTTGAAAGGCAAGGCCTTTCACTTGGAGGCTGAAATATTTTGCTTCTTGCCATTGCAAAACATCGGCTATCATTCCAAAAAAAGCTATAGTTAAAAACAAGGAGCCATAACTGGCAGCGCTGGCCACAAACAAGATTGTAATTCCAAAGCAACAGCTAGCATATATTCCGATTCTATAAAAATTTTTCAAAAAAGAACCATGCCTGGCAGAGCTGGCTACCAATAAGTTATGATTCCAAAAAAAGTTATAGTTCCAAAAAAAAGAACCATAACTCGCTGCACTGGCTACCAAAAAGTTATGATTCCAAAAAAAAGTTATAGTTCCAAAAAAGGAACCATAACTCGCTGCACTGGCTACCAAAAAGTTATGATTCCCAAAAAAAGTTATAGTTCCAAAAAAAGGAACCATAACTTATGATTCTTTTTTCAGAAAAATCATAGCCAAAAACTATCAAAAACCTTTCAAAATCAAAGGTGTTTGCTAGTTTGGGGCTCTGTAAATCTAGGTTTTTCACTAAAACACATAGCTCAAAACTAGCAAACACAATTGATTTTGAAGGCTTTTTGTTAGATTTAGGCTACGCATCTGTTTGGAGAAAAAGAATCATAAGTTATGGTTCTTTTTTTTGGAACGATAACTTTTTTTGGAATCATAACTTTTTTGCTTGGAATATTTTGGAATCATAACTTTTTGGTAGCCAGTGCAGCCAGTTATGATTCTTTTCTTTTGGAACTATAACCTTTTTGGGAATCATAACTTTTTGGTAGCCAGTGCTGCCAGTTATGGTTCTTTTTTTGAACTATAACACTGTTTTGGAATCAAAACTTTTAGGTGGGCTGTGTCACCAGTTATGATTCTTTTTTGGGGAAACTATAGCATGTTTAAGAATCATAACTTTTGGGTGGGCACTGTCCGCAGTTATGATTCCTTTGTGTGGAAAGCAAGGGCGATTGACAGAATCTTGACTAGACATAAATCTGTGGATGTTCGTCAGATTCACACACTTGATGTTTGGATAGTGGTTGGCTCGGCGCGGTTGGCATCCCTTTTTATATTGAACCTGGTGGCAGCATGACATGTGCGTTCACACACATAATGTGTGTGTGTGTTTGTTTGTGTGTCTTTGTGGTTATCTTAAAACTTAAACCTGTCGCATACATTCTTAATTTTGGCCTACTTGTCAAACTGAGATTGGTGGCCTTTAATAAAGTGGAGCCATATGGAAGCCCTGGAAGCACCATGCACCCTGCGACATAAAACCAAGACACGAGGATTGCACTGAAGCAGGAATTGGGATTGATTATGGTTTTTGTTTTAAGTTCAACCATCTTAAAAGTTATGATTCTTTTTTGAACTGAACCGCCTTGACTTGCGAAATTTGCTAGCTGGTGTGCTATAATTCCATCATTTTGATTTGAATCTCTTCAGCGTTGTGCTTGCACAGCGAGGAGTTTGCACCAAGGTTAGCGCTCCTGACCCACGACGTTGCGCTGCCGTTGCATCTGCGCATCTACGTCTACACACCCTCACCTCTGTACATTTACACCTTCACACGCTCACATCCGCAGATCTACCTCTCTACCTCCACAGGCCCACACATCTGCACATCTATATCACACCTGCACATCCACACTGTCACTCCTTAACATCCGCCCTCTCTTTCTCTCTTTCTACATATCTTTTCTCTTAATACTTTAATCTAATTTCTTCGCAACTTCTTACTCAACAGATTGTATAAAGAAGTCATGGCTCGTGGACAACTCGATTTTAACTATTTCCTTACTCGGAATTGCTTGACAATCGCCTTTCTCGCTCTCGGGCCAACCGTCGTCTAGTTATCGCTTTTGTTATCGTTATATTATCGTTTTGGAACCCCCAATGCTTCACCCATTTTGGTGGCCTAACGGAAACGAGTGCCACCGTGCCTCAAAAATGCAACTTACATTTTTGAGGTCATTCCTCGGGAAATCATCCACGAGGCCTCAAAAATGTAAGTTACCTTTTTTGAGGCCACCTCAAAGTTAATGTAATTACATTTTTTGAGGCCCTCCGCATAGGAAAATGTAACTTACAGTTTTCGACGTCCCCCCTCAGGAAAGGGTAGTGATGCCAGAAGATATGCGGGAAAGGATGTCAGAAGGTGCTAGAAAGGATGTCAGAATATGTCAGAATATACGCCAGTTGGTTTGCCAGAGGTTTGCTAGATAGAATGCCAGAAGACATTCCCAACATCAATAGAATCCCGGAAAGGATGCCAGACAGAATGCCGGTATATGTAGGATGCAAATTCGCTGAACAAATGCCGGAACACATGTTAGGACATATTTGAATGCCAGCTTGGTGCGAGAGCACATATCGGAAGCACATGTCAGAAAATATGCCAGAAGCATGCCAGGCTTCACAGCGGGACAGATGCCGGAACCCATGCCAACAAGGACACCAGTGCACATTCCAGAGCAATCCCCAGCCCCAGTTTGTTTGAAAGACGACGTGCCAGAACAAATGACAGAACATTGAACCACACGCATGTCAGGCAGCGTTTGTCAAGATTGTTTGTCAAATACGTCTTGTTTGCTTCCAAATCGTTTCTCAGGGTCGGATAACTTGAACTAAAGTTATTTCAGGCCGCTGGGGTATGATTCTTGGTAAGGTCCCTGGTCAGGAGCGGCCTGGCGCTGCCAGGTGCACTCGCGAAACCCAATGAACACGTCTAGTTTTGGTAACATTTTCATGTTGCAATGATTGTCAGTGATAATATGACAGAATGACCGTCCAAAACTTAAGCCCTAGCGGCACTTGGATCTTAACCTCTCATCAGGTCCAATGGAAACATGCAGTGTCAAATTGCACATAGCCTAGCTCAGGAAATCACTCCCAGCGAGCCAGCAACCCTCTGTGGGTCCCGATGGTGTCTTGACTTCAGGATTTTCGAAGGTGTTTGGCTGTTGGCTTATAAAACCGAGCATTTGCCCACTGCGTGTCGATGTTTGCTCATGACTGAAGGACAACTGCAGGATTTCTGGAGCTCCCTACATGTGGATCAAGAAGGCGATCAAGGAGGCCTTGAGGATGAAGAGCATGAAGAACGCAGCGAAGGCGAAGGCATGGGCATGTGTTCCAAGCGTTTGAACACATACAGCAAGGCGATCTTAATATGTTGATTCAACATGTTTCAACAAAAGTGTCAAGATCGGCTTTGTGCATGGTGCAAGAAATGTTTCAAATTGCGCAAGGTGAAGCGTGGGAGATTCCTGCAGCCACTTAATCAATTTGGCCATGGTAGAAAAACACTGTGTCGGTCGTGATTTGTTTTGTGGTGTTCGCCCCAAAACGTGTGGCTTTGTCGCGAGACTCATTGTTTGTGTCCGCCGATCAAGTACAGAATGTGTGTTCATTGTTTTTTAGGGCGATGTTGCCAGATTACTGAATGTTTGCGGGAAAGGGTGGTTCTGTTAGGCGTTTGCCCTTCTTTGCTCAATCGGCTTGTGTTTCCGAGGAATCATCGTTCGAGGGGCCAGACGAAGGATCACCTGAAGGTGATGAAGCTATGCAGACAGTGCGAGCGCTTTCTGATGCTCCCAGAGGCGTATCCGTGGCCAACAGCTCCTTTAGCAGCTTGGTTGAAGCTTCAAACCTTGCGGTGTGTGTTCCAACATGGCATCACGGCCGCGACTGTATTTTTGCTGAGGCGAAGACACATTAAGATCGACCTTTTCGAAGAGCAAGTCCCTTTCCTTATTATTCATGTTTGTGGGGGTTGGAGACAACTACCGCACTCAGCAGAATATGACACATGACTTGGCAACAGCACCTTCTTTGCGGATTGTTTGATTTCTGAACTAGCCCGGGGTTAAGTTTGAAGTAGAAACAGTAAGCGCGCGTCAAGATTCAGCAGTTTTGAGGTAGCAGCAGTAAGAGCAGCATTCCGCAAAGACTGTCAAATACAAGAAACATAAGCAAGAACATGCACAATGTCCGATCAATTCCAATTTTAAATCACCTGAAGGCCAATCCCCTTAGAGAAAGCGATGGGGAAGAAGAGAGACAGAGACAGAACGTCAGATCGTCATCCACAATGATTGCAGTAGGACAGCTGGTCTTGTTTAGAGGCAGCGGAGTAGGCAGCGCCAACTCAGCACCAGCAGGTATTGTGTAATGTTTGGTCAGGTTGGATTGCTTCTGAGAAAGACAGTGCGGGAGCCAGAATGAACACTGCCGTTGATAGCACACGACTCTTCAAATATGATCGCGCGATGAAAACGCCTGTTTTCCTTTTGAGGAAAGTAAGGGGGTTCAGTATGTGAAAAGGTTGATCCTACCCGCACACGCTCCCGTGGCATTGGATCCTTTTTGGAGCCCAATGTGATCCGTGCGGGATCTGCAGAAAACTACAGCCATCAGGCTCAAACCCCTCTCACCATCACCATGTTCTCCTTTTCGGTCTTTCATCCTTGCATTGACTGTTTGAACCCGCCTTCATCAAGAAAGCCGACTGTGAAAATGTTCCTCTCATGGTCCACAGCCACTTCCACATAGTCTCAAGCGGGTGCAAAGAAACGATGTCAAAAACGACTGTGGAGAATAGAAGCTCGGAGCGATGTCACCCATGTTGAACCTAGTTCAACTTCCTGAAACAACCTGTGCCAGAGCGAAGATTTTTTTGGTGGCCGAGGCAGTCAAGGCAATCAACTGCCGAGGCACGCCATGAAAGGTTGATGATGGGATGTTCAATGCATGTTGAGGTGTTCAAAGGCTTTAAAGGAAGGTGATGAACAAAATTTCTTTGCATTCTGTGTCAGGTCGTGCCTGGCTTTGGGCGAGCTGGTGACTGGGAATTAAGAGCAAGGATTGCTCGGCCGATGTTGATGTTTGAGTATTTTGGAGGTTGCAATTTTCAATACAATGCACGAATGCGTTTGAGGGAATAGTTTTCCTGGCTGGCATACAGTATTTCCGTTGCACCTAAGGAAGGAAGGCCACTTTGAGATCATCCCATACTGGTGACTTGCAAAACAACTTGATCGGGACGAGGTTCAATTGTACTTTCGTATCAATTGTCCAGGGTCTCCTGGCATCGCTACTAGGAGCAAGGAAGCTACTAGGGGCTCCTGGCCTTACTATTAGGAGCAAGGACGCTACTAGGAATCAATTTGTCCTAGTAGCTTCTTGTTCCTAGTAGTACGGCCAGGAGCTCTTAGCGATGCGAGGAGCCCCTAGTAGCGAACATTGCTCCTATGTGGTTGACTTTTGGGAGTTTCAAGATGTGGATAGGCGCAACGCGGCGCAAGTTCCAGTTGCGCACCGCAGTGGCAATACGTTTCATAATTGCTGCAATCACATGGCCTTGCGCCAAGTCCGGCTCATGTTGCGGACGTTAGGCTGGCCTAACAGTATTTGTTGCCAATCATCAGGCTGGAGGGTCGAACTACTCGTATCGATCAACATCAGTGAAAGTTGTTGATCCCGACTGTGCCCAACCTTGCCCAGGTTTGAAGAGAGGTTGATCTTTCGGTTTCAATTCCCGTGTGATCCGGAGGAGCGTTGCACATCCTTGCCCTTTCACCAGTCAAAATCCACCACTTAAATGTAAGCAGGTGGTTCGGTGCAAGTTGTGGACCTACCCTCAGCTTGATCATACAGTATGCTTATCATCCAAGCTAGCTGCGTGCCCTTAGTCAACTGAGCGTGACTGAGTTTGACAGATTGGACGGGCGTGCTCCAAGCGTGCTCGTCGTCATTGTGAGCCGTTTGCAGCAGACGCCTTGCATTGCAGCTTTTCTCGCTTTGCTCGCACGGGGCTTCTGGGCTGCGAAGTGCCTTTGCAGCGCCGGTGCTTACATTCTGAGGACATTGCAGGCCATTCCAGTCCATGTCCGCCTCCCTTGCAGCTTCGTCGCCACTGGCGACAGTGGTTTGCGATCTGACTTCTTACGACTTGTGGCAAGTCACTGTATTCACTGGTGCCCATAGCCACTGCTCTCAACAAGACCACCGCGGCCAACTGCATCTTAGGATCACTGACTTTGATCGCCGTGGAGTTCAACAAGTTTCTGTCAGCAAAGCCAATCAATCACAGCTAAAGGCCTTGATCCAAAGCCTGATTTAAACCAGCAGGCCCTTCCGTGGCTTAGCTTGAGGGAAAGACTGGCCAGCGGCCAAAGGTAGCTTGACGATAACATTGCGCACGGCAAGGCAAGGACCATGATTCTCAGGCTGCCTGCCAAACTGAATGAGTTAGATCAGATCTGTTGTTTTCTTGCGATTGCCGAAGGCGGTTGTGGCCGCACATGCATCGAATTAGTCGCTGCCACCTGACTCGGGCGGTGGCCCCCCGACAGCAAAAGTACAGCTGTACTGATACTGTCCACTGTCCCAACGGTAACTTCACGGAAAAAAGCGCGCTGCGATCACGCAAGGGTCCTGGCCATTCTTCCCCTTGCCATGCATGCACCCAAGTATTCCTCCAGGGCTTAGCTGGACGCCATCCGTAGGTGCAAAAAGGCCCAAGCCGGCCACACGTGCGTCATTAGCGGACTCATGTCGCCGCCAGAGCGGAGAAAAACATGTTGACTCGTCACACTTAAGAACTACATTGCCCTTCTTGCCGCTATATAGCCGCTGTGAAGTGCTTCCAACACTTGAGACACTTGAGATTTGGTTCATGAATTTACCAAATCCCTCAGCGGCGGGTGCTGGAGCCTCAGAAGCCAAAAGGCACCCTCACCCCAACCCCGGGCGACACCCGGGTCCGATCGCACTCGATCGCTGTTTTGCAATAATAGCGGTGTTGGTAGCGGAGCGCTACACGACGATTCGGGAGATTGTCATCAAGCCCTGTCCGAGCGCACCTACCTCGTCACACTACATCCTCGCCTACCTCAATGGCTACTGCCACATCATCGGCATCGGCAACAGCCAAAGGAGCAGGCGGTGGAGCATATACCGAAAAGAAATGCCCATGAGCTGATCCCGCTGAGTTCAGCGGCAAGTCCAACGACTACAAGGAATACCGCAAGCTTGTGCTCTTGTATGAGCGCAAGATGGATCTTGCTGGTAGCAAGACCGAGACGGCCTTCAACATCATGTCCTCGCTGAAGAACAAGGCATGGGATGCCTGTGGGGATCTGTCGGTAGAGATCCTGGAGAGCGACAGAGGCATGAAGGAGATCCTTGCGCGGCTTTACGCCGTGTTCAAGTATGACGCCATGTCCGAGCTGCTGCAGGACTTTGAGAACTTCTTCATCCAGATGCAGCGGAAGCGCAATGAGACCATGCAGGAGTATACACAGCCAACGTCGGGAGGCAGCTTCGTAAATTGGCTGCCCATGAGGTCCAGCTTCCTGAGAAGGTGATCGGCTGGTACTATCTACGTCGAGCCCGGACCTGGGCTCTGTCAGGAAGGCAGTCAACTTCGTGATTGGCCAGGACCAGACCCCAGAGGGCGCGACTCAGTGGTGAAGGTTGCGCATCCTGCACCGGGGACACCCGCGGCAAAGAAGAAGAAGAAAGAGAAAGCGGAGAACATTCCATAAGGCCGACGTTGTGTCCTGACGGTCATGCCACCCGATACTGTGCAATCAGGATTCTGAGCAGCAAGAAGGTGGAGGAGTTCACCAAGGGCTTGGAACGTTGCTGGCTGAAGCACTTTGGAATTCCCAGGATCTTGAGGATCGATGAGGCCAAAGGTTGGGCATCCAAACATGTGGGCATCCTCTTGAGGCACTACCTTGGAACTTCAACCTGCAGAACAACATTCATGGCTGGCTTGGTGTGGTGGGAAGAGAGCGTCAGGTTGTTCGGAGATGTCTGGAGCTCTATCAAGATGAGGTTGGCCGACGTGACAAGGCTTTCGTTGAAGGAGGCAGCCGTCTATGTGCCACATGCCATCAACCAGCTCAGCTTCCACAAAGGATTCAGCTCACAGGGTGTTCAGAAAGACCATGACTCATGTGCATGGCTTGTCCGGTGAGCTCTTCAACCCTGGACAAGATGCTCTGGATGAACAAGGACTCTTTGCAGAAGTTCAACAGCGACGTGCAGCAGCTGCTAAGGCGTTCATCGCTGCTGACTCTGACGCCAAGTTGCGTCGTGCCTTCACCCAGAAGTTCCAGGAGCAGAAGGAGAACCTGGGTGGTGGGGCAGCAATGTTGGTACTTGGTACTGGCGCAACGCTGGTGCTGGCATCTTGAGGAAAGCAAGGTGGAGAGGCCCTGCCCGTGTGGTGGCTATTGAGGTTAATGGAGATGCTCGTGTTCTTTTGGCTTTGTCATGGAACATCCCTGGCGCGATGTGCTCCTCAGCAGGTACGCCCAAAATATGGTTGAAGACAGTGGAGTTTTTGTTCCCATTGACCGACAGGCGGCGGACCTGGAGCCGAGTTCCGACGAGATGAAACGTGCCGGCGTCGAACCCAAGGAGATGGATTACAATGACTGGGATGGTGATCTAGAAGCCGACTACCAGCCAGAGGAGATGGATCCCGAGGATGACAGGAGCCAAGAAGAAGAAGAAGCTCAACCGAGCATTCTCCCTAGCATCGCGCAGGCAATTCTGCCGAGACCACGTCATGAAGAACGAGAACGAACTCCTCGACGTGAGCTACAGCGTGCTACAGCTACCTCGCGGACCGCCGTCAGATGCACCAACGGCAGTACCTGCAGAGACAAATCAAGAGACGCGCGCAGAAGAAGGACCACCAAAAAGAAAGAATCATGATCCTGGAGAAGAACGTCCGGCAAAGAATCCAGGGAGTGCACCGCCCCCAGACTTTGCGCCGCCTGAAGCAGAACCTGTCCCCTCAGACGACGAGCTGATCATCGATGAGGTCTTTTTTAGGCACTACCAGTGGGATGGAAGCTGGTGGACGGATCCTTTCGGCTGGACAAGGTCTATGTGCAGCAGAACCTCTGGAAGGGCGAGGTTAGCCTGAAGCATCTCACACCTGACCAACAAGCAGAACTCATTGCAGGCAAGCGCAATGAGCTTGAGCAGTACTTTCAGAACCCGGTGTGGGAGCTCGCAACCTCAGAGGAGGGCAACCAAGCTGTGCAGACCAATCGGGTGATCACTGCACGATGGGCGCTGACCTGGAAGCGCATCAATGAGGACAACCCTCTACAAGGCGAAGGCCAGATTGGTCCTACGAGGATTTGAGGATCCTGATCTCCTGAGCATCGAGACTGCAGCCCCGACAACCAGCCAACTTGCATGCTTGCCTCTTCCGGCTGGCCATCACCAACTGGAACCAGTGGGAACTTCTTTGTGGTGATGTCAAGGCAGCATTTCTATCTGGAAGTGGCTTCGACAGGGTGATCATAGTGAAGTTGCCCAAGGACTGCAATCCATTGATTGGAGGAGATCAACTCGGACCACAAGGACAGCTGATGCCCCACTGATGTGGTATCGGCCTCCAGCAGACTTGCAGCTCGTGGCTGGAAAAGCTAAAAGCCACGCCGTGGATCAGTGCTGTTCTTTACTGTCTGAAGAAAAGTCCACGGGGAAGACCTTGTTGGTCGGTATGCTGGTGATCCATGTCGACGACATTTTGATCCCTGGTGATTCCAACAGCACGTGCTGCATGGAGGCCATCAAGAACCTCAAGAAGCACTTTAAGTATGGCAAGTGGGATTGCGGGCACTTTGCTGCCACCATGGACCGAACGGTCACACACCATGACGATGAAGCCGCCATGGGATGAGCCGTCTCGCGGGGTTCCAAAGCCGGCGTCAGCATAGCAGACCAGGGCCAGGGTGACGTTGTCCAGGCTGTTGAGGGTGCCCTTGTTGACCTCCGCGGGCTTCGCCAGGAACTTGGCGGTCACATCGCTCTGGCTCTTGCCAAAGCGCAAGGTCTTGTTCTTTCGGCGCTGCACCTGCTTGCAGTGACACGGATGCTGCCAGCATAAGCCCAGAACTGCGCCACTGCAAAGCGCCGATGAGTGCTCGGTACTTCCCTGTCTCGCTGGGGCTCATCTCATCTGTTGGCTTCCGTCCCTTGTTGA